TACCTCACCCTCTACACACAGTATACCTCACCCTCTACAGTGTACCTCACCCTCCACAGATAAGTGCCCCTCCTTCCACCTCCCCCCTCAGTAGCAGGCAAAGGCTCCACCCAGTGTGAGCATCCCTCACCCTTTATCATGCACGATGGCACCTTTCAGCACACCCCACTTCCAGTCAGGCATAGGAAGCCTTCCTGGACCCACGCCCACCTATCCCATGGTCACTCACACTGATGCAGCTCCCTCTCCCTCTCTTCCCACCCCATCACTCACAATAACCCCGCACTTCGGGTCAAAAGCGAAGGTGCCACAAGTGAGGAGGTGAGAGGCATTGGCAATGGCGAGAATCTGGACAAAATTGTGACATTCGTCCTGGGGGCCAGAGATGGTTAGAGAGAGTTAGAAGCAGCAGGTACAAGGAAGGGGGAGGTGGTGTCAGGTGTTAGAGGCAACTCTGGAGCCAGAGATGGCAGGTGACAGCATGGTGTCAGCATCCCTGAGTGGGCCCACGGGCTGGGGCACTGCAGGAGACTGACACCGAGTCCGAGCTGGACCAAGGCCTGAACCGACAAGCGGGCAGGGCCCGACTCCACACCTACCTCCTTCTTGCCTTTCTTCTTGCAGTTCTGTCTGTGTGCTTCAGGCACCATCCAGTCAATCTGAAAAAGGAAGAAGGACTGTTCCTCCCAGGTCTCCCCTCCAGACTCTCTAAGGATCAGGGGAGGTGAGACAGTGCCACATCCTCTACCAGTTTGGGAACCTAACCAACCCCTAGTGCTTTGTTCTCCAGATCTGATGCCCCCCACCCAATAAAGAACGATGGCATCATGGCCAGTGTCAGTTTTCATGAAATAGAACAGAACGTATCACTGTTGTTGTTACATGTTGAGCTTGAACTGACTCAAAACTGACCCTCCAGCCGGTTTACAGAGGCTGCAAACAGCACAGCAGGAGAATGCCCCAAGAGCTGCTAGTGGATTCGAACCACACGCCTTTGGTTTGGCAGCACAACTCCTTACCACTAGGCCACCAGAGCTCCCTGCCACATACAGGAAAGTAGATTTTGTTTCAAAAAAACGTTTCTCTGTATATTCAGTCCAATGTAAAATACACTTCCAACCTGTCAGTGGGGGTCAGCAAAGGTTGACGCTCCCTCCCCGCCTCCACTGTGTGATTCTAATGACCCCTCTGCCTTCTCTCCTCCGACATCTAGTCACTGTGCTTCCTCCCATCATCATGAACCTCCCTCATGGCGTCCCCAGGCACCATGTCCCCACCACTGGCAGCTGCCAACTCCTCCCTTCACTCCCCCAATACTCCTCTTCCTCCACCCACTATTATTAGTGACTATGCAACTCCCACAGGCACACACAGCCCATAACCACAGCTCGAATGGCACGCTCTGAAGTCTGGGGTCTTCCCCACCCTCAACTCTCACCCTGCGGGGTCTCTCCCCAGAGAAGGGCAGAGGCAAAGCGAAGATGGTATCCCGGGCGCCAACATACAGCATGTGCGAGGCAGGATCCACCAGGAGGACAGAGTAATTCTGTGTCTGAGGGGCAGCAAACCGAGTGAGGCAGGAGTCGGCCTCTGCAGGGAGAGAGAGATGGGTAACCCGGTCATCACGCCACAAGGGCTGGGTCCACAACAGGCAAAGACAGAGGGCAAATTTTGTTTTCCTCCAGGAATCAAATGTTTAGAAAAAAACAACAGAACTTTGACAGACTGGTTATCTAAGATTCCTCAGACACCTGATGAAGCCCTGATATCTAGCCCATGATCCCGTCATGCTTTTTTACTACAAAAATAGAATATTCCTGCACACCCATGTTTATTGCGGCTTTGTTTGCAATAGCAAAGAGCTGGAAACAACCCAAGTGCCCATTAACAAACAAATGGATAGAGAAGCGCTGGTATATTCACACAATGGAATACTATGCAGCACTGAAAAACAAGGAACTCATGAAATGTTCTGCAAAATGGGTGGCCCTGGAGGACATTACGCTGAGTGAAATATCTCAGTCACAAAAGGACAAATATTGCATAGGGCCAGCGTGGTCAAACGGGACTGCCATCGGGATTGAGGAAAGACAGGGAAGGAGGGGAGGAATGATGTATACTGCATTGAAACAGATGAGGGAGAGAACTGTTTAAAAGGGATATATGATTGGGTATTATTGTCATGACAGGAGTCCAGGATGAAGGCTGCACAGTGAAGTGGACTTGGGGGGAGGGATTGAATAACAATAAAAGAATTTTACTTTTCAAGGAGAAGAGTGAATTGAGTGGGGGACGGGTGGGCAGGGAGAAAATGAATGACTGGAAACACTAAGCCTTTGTAAACTTTCATTAAAATTAATAAAAAAAATGACTAGAACTTTCCATTAAAACAAGAGCATAAACATGAAGTCCATTATTTCTGTTTAAAACAATGTCATCTGGAATTGAAAACACCCATACAAGGTTTGAATACTTTCTTTCCTTTGTTCTAGTTTCCTTTTTTATCACCACTTAATAATAACTCTTTACTTAGAATGAAACTGTTTCACTATTTTTACCAATAAGGTACGAATCTCTATCTCTTGTTTCTCTCTCTTCCTTATTGGACCCTTTGGCCAACTGCCCCCAAAAGGAAAGACTGTGTATTCTAGAAATTGAGCAGCCTGCATTCAAACGTGGCTCTTGGCTTATCGGTGGTCTGACGGTGATGAAGCTTCTTTCCCTTTCTGGGAACCGTCTTCCTCATCGATGAATGTCCCCATCTGAATGGGGAGAGTGAGTGGAGGAAGTGGGGTCGCGGGGGGAAGGCAATCAGATGGCAGGTGCACAAGCACTTAGCACATGGTAGATGCCGCACAAAATGCTTCTTTTCTTCCTTCCTTGGGCCTACACTTTGTTTTGAACAATCCCAGACTTCCAAACAGCAACCAAACCTTCCACATGCTTTAACATTTTAACAAACAAGCTTATAATAAGTAACTTGGCCCAGCTCGACTGCTTCATCTGTCCATCTGTCCTGAATTTCGTAAAGGACCACCAGACTCCTTCCTGGATATGATTTCTAGAGTCCCACCCACCCATCCTCCCACACACGTACTCTGTGCTATATCTAACCTACTCTCTTGTGCTTGGAATAAGCGCTGGGATCAATCCACCTCCTCTTCAGCGCCGATTCTGCTCCACCTGCCATCTGGATATCTCTGGACGCTGGACATACCCAACCAGGCAATCTCAGCTCCACCTTAGGGCCACTGCTCCTATTCAAATCCCAAGCCCTAACCCTAAAGCATTCCTATTTGTTACTGGAATGAAGTTCAGATTCTAAATTAGCATTACCACTTGTAAGGTTTGGGCCAACAGGTTGTACTTTCAGCTTTACCAACTCTGTCTGCTCCAGGACCTAACATCTAGTGTCCACGGAGGAGAAAACAAGGTCCATGGCCACTAACATCCACCTCAGTGGGCAGCCCCCAAGTGTGAACATGAATCACAGCTATCACCACTTTGAACCGTGGGCATCTAGGCCTCCCTCTACACCATTTGAAAGGACCACCCCCCTCGAGCTCCCTCTTCTTCTGAAGACACAGTCATTTCAACAGAACTTCATATCAGCTCATATATCTATATTCTGAGTGAAGAATGGGTAGAGGTGTGGCCTATCTGAAACTAGGTGGGTCAGGGTGAACTGGCTGTAGGAGGTGGGAGAGGTGAGGAGGGGCCAGGAAGGATAGTGGGGAGATGAGGGCTGGGAGCCGGGTGGGAGGCCTGGAGGGAGGAAGAACTTCACAGGGAAGAAGGGGGTGGTGGCAAGGGAGTGAAAACTTAGAAATGGATGACCTCAGGCAACCTCCATCCCTCCCCCCTGGACTTCAGTGTCCGTGTCTGCACTGTCAGTGGCTTAATCCCTGTGGCTCTGGGAAATCACAGGCCAAGGGAGTATCCAAGGTGAGTAGTGGGCCTGGGCCAGGGATGCGAGGGAGGACCACAGATGTGAGAGAGGATTTGGGATTCAATTTGGGAGGACTACCAATGCGACTGAGGATCACGGATGCAAGGGAGGATCACGGATGCGAGGGAGGATCACAGATGCGAGGGAGCACCACAGATGTGAGGGCTGTTGTTGTTGTTATGTGCCTGCTGAGTCGCTTGCGACTGATAGAGACCCTATGTACAACAGCCCTAAACTCTGTTAGACCACAGATGTGAGGGAGGACCACGGATGCGAGGGAGGACCACAGATGTGAGGGAGGATCACGG